CCTCACCCTGCCTCTGTCCCATCTCTGCCCCATTCCTGCCCCGTTCTCACCCTGCCTCTGCCCCATCTCTGACCCATTCCTGCCCCATCCTTACCCTGCCTCTGCCCCATCTCTGACCCGTTCCTGCCCTGTTACCCTGCTTCCAGCCCCTCCCTGCCCTGCCTCCTACCTGTCTTCTCCCCGCCCTGCCTGGACACCACCTGATCCCGGCCCTTTCTTCACCCTGTCTCTGCCCACCTCTGCCCCTCCGAGTGTGGGGCCCTGTCCCTCCACCGCATTTCCACCTGGTCCCCTCTCTGCCTCTGCCCCTCTGAGTGTAGGGCTCATCCTTCTGCCTTGTCTCCACCCCGTCCCCTTCCATGGTCTCCAGCAGCCCCACCCACTCAGCTCCCCCGTCTCCAGGCTCCTGTTCTGCTTCTTGCTCCCTGCGTCCTCCTCCCCACCTCTGGGTTGCATGACCGGTCCCGGCTTCTGCTCTTCTGGTCTTCATGGCTGTCCCTGTCCTTTCGTGTCTCCTGCGGCCGCTCACCTTCCCTGATTCTCTGCCCTGCACCTTCCACCACTTGGGATGGGAGGGGCCGAGTGGGGTGTTGGTGCAGCGGGTGTGCTGAGCCCTGCCTGTCAACAGCACGGCCAGTGCGGTTCCAGGAAAGGCTGAAGGATGTGGAGGTGCTGGAGGGTGGCGCTGTGACGCTGCGCTGCGTGCTGTCCACTGTGGCTGCACCTGTACAGTGGCGCTACGGGGACCAGGTCCTGCGGCCGAGCGGCAAGTATGGCCTGCGGCAGGAGGGAACCGTGCTGGAGCTGGTGGTACGCGACCTGCAGCCCCAGGACAGCGGGCAGTACTCGTGCTCCTTCGAGGACCACACGACCGTGGCCAAGCTCACCGTGAAGGGTAACGTCCTGCCAGCCTGCCCCTGCATCCTGTGGGTCCCTTTCCGTCAGTGTCCATGCTGAAGGTGGTGTGCCTGTGTCCATTTGACCTTTTTTCAGCCCTGCCCGCCCAGTTCACAGGAAAACTGAGAAGCAAGAAGGCCACGGAAGGGGCCACGGCCACACTGCGGTGTGAGCTGAGCAAGGCGGCGCCTGTGCAGTGGAGGAAGGGCGCTGAGATCCTCAGCACTGGAGGAAGATACAGCCTGAGGCAGAACGGGGCCGTGTGTGAGCTGGAGATCCGTGGCCTGGCTGTGGCGGATGCTGGGGAGTACTTGTGTGTGTGTGGGCAGGAGAGGACCTCAGCCACGCTGACCGTGGAGGGTAAGACCTGAAGGTGGTCACGTGGGCCAGTGGCGTGGTGTTCAGTTGCTGATTTTATGCCATCCGTCTGCATTCACGCCGCACTGTCTCCTTGACTCCAGAACGTCTTCCCATGTTGTTGCTGTCGAGTTGGCTCCGGGTCGCAGAGACCTGACGTGTGACAGAGTAAAGTGTTGCCTCGTCCTGTGCCAGGCTGAGTCGTGGTCTGTTGGAGCCTGTTGTTGTAGCTATGGTGTCAGCCCATTTCCTGGAGGTTTCCTTTGTTGTTCATGACCCTCTCCCGACCATGAGGTCCTCTCCTAGCAAGTGGTCTTTCCTGACGATGTGTTCAATATAGTGGAGCCAAAGTCTTGCTGTCCTCGCTTCTAAGAGCGTTTGTTCCTTCTTCTGGAAGTCTGTAGTCTCTTCAGTGTTCTTCACCAACACCATAATTCAAATGCCTTAGTTCTTCAGTTTTCCTTTTTTTATTGTCCAGCTTTGGCAGGCATCTGAGGTGTCTGAAGAGACTATGGTTTGAGGCAGGTGCACCTTAGTTATCAAACTGACATCCGTTCTTTTTAATATTTTAAAGTGGTCTCTTACAACAGATGGGCCCAGCGCAATACGTCGCTTGATTTCTTGACTGCTGCTTTCATGGACGTTGACTGTTGATCCAAGTAGAATGAAATCTTTTGACAACTTTAATTTCTTTGCCATTTATTATGATGTTGTTTATCAGTCCAGTTGTGAGGATTTTTGTTTTCTTTATGTTCAGGCGTGATGCATACTAAAGGTTGTAGTCTTTGGCCTTCATCAGTAAGTGCTTCAAGTCCTCTTTATTTTTGGCAAGCAAGGTGTCATCTGCATATTGCAGGTTGTTAATGAGTCTTTGTCTATTCCTGGTGCCGCGTTCTTCAAATAGCCAGCTTTTCATGTTATTTGCTCAGCATGCAGATCGAATAAGTAAGGTGAAATGCTGCAGCCCTGCTGAACACTTTTTCCAGTTTTAAACCACGCAGTATCCCCTTGTTCTGTTTGAATGACCGCCTCTTGATCCATGTATGGGTTCTGCATGAACACAATTAAGTGTTCTGGAATTCCCATTCTTTGTAGTGTTATCCATAATTTGTTACGATCCACACAGTTGAACGCCTTCATGTAGTCAGTAAAATAAACATTTTTCTGTTATTTGCTGCTTTTAGCCAAGATCCATCTGCCATCAGCAGTGGTATCCCCCATTCCACATTCTCTTCTGAATCTGGCTTGAGCTTCTGGCCGTTTCCTGTTGATGTACGGCTGCAGCTGTTTTTGAATTATCTTCAGCACAATTTTGATAGCATGTGGTATTAATGATACTGTTCTATAATTTCCACATTCTGTTTGTTTGCCTTTCTTTGGAATGGGCACAAATGTGGGTCTTTTCCAGTTGTTTAGGCTTCCAAATTTCTTGACAGATGAAGTACTCCTAGTGTTGCACATTTGTTGAAGCATCTCAACGGGTATTTTGCCAACTCCTGGAGCCTTGTTTTTCGCCAGCGCCTTCAGCGCGGCTTGTCCTTCTTCCTTCAGCACCAGTGGTTTTTGATTATATGCTACTTCCTGAAATGGTTGAATGTGGACCCCTTCGTTTTGGTACAGTGGCTCTGTGTATTCCTTCCATCTTCTTTTGATGCTTCCTATGTCATTCAGTTTTTTGCCTATGAAGTCCTTCAGTATTTCACCCCTAGGCTTGAATTTTCTCTTCAATTCTTTCAGCTTGAGAAATGCCAATCATATTCTTTCCTTTTGATTTTCTAACTCCAGGTCTTTGCACGTTTCGTAATGCAGTGAAACCTGTGAGAGCGGGAATTCGATGGGATTGCCTTGTTTTTCCTGGTCTCGCAAGTTTTCTGCCTTGGACAGGGCGCAGTCTTACCACTTTTCTATCCCTCCTTTTAGTGGAAAGTACTTATTTGAGTTTTCCTTCTCTGACAGTTTTCTGCCTTACACAGGTTCCGGGTTTTGCAGGTATTACTGTAATACTTTACCTTGTCTTCTTGCGCTACCCTTTGAAGTCTGTTCAGCTCTTTTACTTTATCATTTTTTCCGTTCTTTTTAGCTACTCAACATTTAACAGCAAGTTTCACTGTCACATCTGACATTTATTTTGGTCTTTTCTTTCTTTCCTGTCTTTTTAATGACCTTTTACTTTCTTCATGTATGATGTCCTTGGTGTCATCCAAAACTTGTCTGCTCCTCAGTTATTACTGTTCAATCTGTCCTTGAGATGATCTCTAAATCCAGCAGGATGTATTCAAGTTTGTACTTTGGTTCTTGTGGACTTGCTTTGGTTTTATTCAACTTCACCTTGAACTTGCACGTGAGCAATTGATGATCTGTTCCGCATTTGGTCCTTGGCTTTGTCTTGACTGATGATACTGAGCTTGTCTATTGTCTCTTCCAAATTCCCCTTCCCCTTCCTGGGTTCTGCACGACCTTCCTGTTGGCTGGACTGAGAGAAACCAGGATCTGTAGCCAGTTCTCCACCCACTGTGCTATCCCCTGCTATCTGTCCTGCTGGATTTTGTGTCTCTTCCTCTATCCTGCCCCGTCATGTCTCCCAAGTCCTCCAGAGATCTGATGTTCTCCATGTCTGTTTGACCATTCCAGCCCAGCCTGCCCAGTTCATAGGAAGACTAAGAAGCAAAGAGGCCACAGAAGGGGACACGGCCACGCTGTGGTGTGAGCTGAGCAAGGCGGCGCCCGTGCAGTGGAGGAAGGGCCCTGAGACCCTCAGCACCGGGGACAAATACAGCCTGAAGCAGGATGGGGCTGTGTGTGAGCTGGAGATCCGTGACCTGGCTGTGGGGGATGCCGGGGAGTACTCATGTGTGTGTGGGCAGGAGAGGACCTCAGCCACGCTAACCGTGAGGGGTAAAGACCACGTGTGGCCACGTGCTGGTGGTGTGGTGCCTGAGCACGTGTTCGTGACCCGCCCTCCCCACCCCCATCTGCACTGCTGTCTGCTTGTGTGTCTCACTCATTCCTGGAGCATCACGTATTTCGCAGCAGCTGCTGTGTGGGGGCTGGCCTCAGATACGAGGAACAGCAGAGGGCAGGAAAGGCCCTGTCTGCCCTTGTGGAGGTTACAGCTGAGGAGTAGAGCCAGAAGGGGTGTCCGAGGCAGGCCAGGAGGGCCGTGTGCGAGCATAAGAGAGGGAGTGGTGGCCTGGAGGCATGCGGACAAGCAAGAGTGAGAGCCGGAGGACAGAAAGAGGGCCGTCCTGTGGGCGGCAGACTATGAGCAGGAACTGGACGGGAGGGCTTGGGCGGTGCATCTGCGGGGAAGGAGGGATGCCAGGTGCAGCCAGGAGGAGCCTCCTGTCCTCTGCACTTGGGAGGAGAGGATGTGGGTAAGGGTGTCCCCAGCAAGCAAGGTAGCTGGTATGGGGGTGGCTAGGAACTGGGAGAGGGCCTGGTGGGGCCACATCCTGTGAGACTGCCTTGGCCACACACGCTTATCGTGTGAGCATCCCCGTAGAAGGGGAGGCAGGGCTGCTGGGCTGCGTTTGTGGGACGGTTGGGCATGGGCAAGGGGCTTAGAATAGTGAGATGTGGGTGGATGCTGGCCCTGGGGGGCAGGTGTAACAGGAGGGGCCCCTGGTGGAGTGAGGGGTGGCTCTGTGTGTCTGGGTGATTCTCAAGGCTAATGAGGCTAAGAGGGCGTCATTGGCATCTCCCTGGCCCCAGGGTCTTAGGTAGAGGTGTGCTGAGGAAGGCAGGGCTGAGCGCTGCCCCATGGGCCTGCATCCCCAGGTCTCTGGGTGGAGGTGTGCTGAGGAAACAGAGCTGACCACTGCCCCGTGGCCCTGCTTCCCCAGGTCTCGGGGTAGAGGTGTGCTGAGGAAGGCAGGGCTGAGCACTGCCCCATGGCCCTGCTTCCCCAGGTCTCGGGGT